CGATCTTAATGGAGCGCGACCCTCAGACAAGGCGGCACGCTGTACAGCAGAATCTCTAAAAGTATCACTCCATTGTTTGTACAGATTCTAAAGATTTGGATGAAGGGAAAGAAAAGGGGGAGGGGTCCTACCACTAAGACAGGCATAATTGAGCATTAATTTTCATTGAAACTAAGAATGATGTTAGAGATCAGAAAATCTGGGGATACACCTGAAATAAGGGAGATGACAACTATGCAGATGAATCGCTCACTTTGAAATAGAGAACGTGAAAGGAAAGCGACCAATTCGTTGTTCCCAAATGCTTTCTACTTGTTTCAGAAATCCATAAACTTCATCAAAGCGATCCAGAATTTCTGCTAAAATAGAAAAGGTTCATCTTTCGGTAATAAATTCTAGCTAATCACATACAATCTATCACATCTTCTTTCCTTCCATTCGGATAGTGCATCTGAACATCTTTCGAGCCAGGTTTTTGTATCAATCGGCGCTCTGTAATGGGTAAATCCAATTAAACACTTTAGCACATCAATCAACGAGAGAAGAGACATTAGAGCTTACGATCACGAAAAACAATGCGAAATGCGCCATTCTCCATGATTTTTGCAACTGCTGATGGAAACTGAGAAGGTCGTTGATACACCACCTATATAGACAAGTTCATAAAAAGAATCTCAAATTCAGGAAACAAGAAAGAAGAATGCTTGAAACATTTAGTACCTTATCTACGCGTCCTCTCATCACTTCTACTGCATTCGAAATCTGTGCATAAACGTCACGCTCATGACGATTCAACGACGAATAGCTGCAAATTCTTGAAGCCTTTACATCCTCTAAAGCCAGTAGCAGACAAACTGATTCAAACTTCCGGCATTGATAAATACCACGTCTAGTGAGAAAGGTGATAAAGGTTTTTTTTTTCTCAAAACTTAAAATACTTCATTACAGAAAGATATCATTTAAACCCGTCATATACGTGCAGACACACCGTTTTGAGTAAGCAAGACACAGCTATAAAATCCTTATAATTCCGTTCAAAACCAATTAGAAAGCTGAAAGCGGATGGGCGGCGCCTATGGCGAGGCTATAAAGACCTGAGAGATCTGGACAATATCAATGTTGCTTCATCCTGATGGTTACGAGTTTTGGAACGAAGCTGAAACCCTTCGTCGGATTTCATTCTTCGGCATATGCTTCAGGTTTGTTGATAGTGACTTCTAACTACAGTATGCATGATGATAAATATTCGATGAATAAATAAGAAGTGACTTCAGTACTTTGGGGGCTCTGACATGCACTGTTGTGATATCAAGCATATACAACTACATGCAGTACACACAAACGGAGCTGCAGTCTGAGGTTAGTATAATCAATAAAACGAATGGGAAAATTGGTTAAAACTATCTAATATGTGAATTTTTTTTTACTAATAAAACCAAAAGCTGATGGACAGTTAGAGAGTGGGCGAGTGAAGCTATTTGCCCGGCAATTCAGGAGACAAACCCCAAAAGTTATGATTGGCGTGCGCTGGTAATTTTACCATGCATTAAATATTCTCCAGAAAGCAACAAAAATGCAAAAAGATGCGAGACATATTCGCGTAGCATCTCAGAGTTCGCGTTTCTGGATTTTTAGATTTCTGGATGGTACATGCGATCGCACAATATGTGCATTGTACCAACTGAGCAGTTCATATTATACTTCTTTGCTCTCCAAGAGCATTGCTACTACCACAAAGAGTGGTAGTCAACCTAAATGAGAACAATTGTGGAGTGAGAATGCCATTCAGTTTCAAACTCAAAACTTATAAAATATGTCATTGAAGCTAATGACTGACTGTCCAGGTTGATTTCTGCCGACAACAGAACAACGGCTTATTCAAGCAATATGCAGAGTTGAAGAAAAATGCTGAGGATAACGCAAGATCTGATGCAAAAAGACAAGCTTATGACTTTGATTTATCGGGTAAAGAAGATTCTTGTCATTGTAAATGATATTGATATTCATATCTTTCCTTTCACAGAAGAAGGATTTCTGCCAGCAACCACCGAAGAACCAATGCCTCCATCCGAAAATGGGTGTTGTTCATGCAAGAAAGGTCCAATTGGGCCACCTGGCCCACCTGGACCAGATGGAATAGATGGTAGCGATGGCTTACCAGGCCAAGATGGAGAACGCGGAGTAGATGCAGGGCTAAACGACGTTCCCACAGCAGCCGATTTCTGCTTTGATTGTCCAACGGGCCCCGCAGGAGCACCAGGAAAACCCGGACCGAAAGGTCCAAGAGGTAAACCAGGAAAAAATGGACTGGAAGGTGTTACAGGAATACCTGGAAGACGCGGCCGAACTGGCTTCCCAGGTAGGCCCGGTCCTGACGGAAATCCAGGCCCTCCGGGTATGCCAGGCCCGGATGGGATCTGTGAAGATGTGGAAGCTCCGGCTGGTCCCCCCGGGCCAATGGGACCTGTGGGAGAGCCGGGTCAGAGAGGTCGCGCAGGTATGCCTGGAACCCCAGGCGCTGATGGACCCCAAGGACCACCTGGCGATCCAGGATCTGATGGCTATCCAGGCGAACAAGGTCCACGTGGGCCACGAGGAGCTTTGGGTTACGATGGGCAGGGTGGAGGGTGTGACGAATGTCCCCCACCACGAACTGCTCCGGGATATTGACGTCACATACCCGTAAAAAAAGAAATAAAATGTTGCAGAAAATTGAAGCAAAAAAAAAGAAAAACAGAAAATGACAAATGGATGATTCACAATAACCGTACAAATTTCTATAAAATGCTCTTACCTCGTAAGCGGGACTATCTCCCGTCCTCCAGCAACTGGTATCAAACTATCATGTTCAAGCGGTAGTTTCACATTCGATTGCAAAGGTTTGTCAAAAGTAACCTACAAAGAGCAATTTCGTTGAGATAAAGGATTATCGTTGATCTTCATCAGCTAGATTTGTCATCTCAATCGAAAAATATATGAATAAAAAAAATTACGTAAACAAATAAATAGGTGAATTAATAAATAGGAAAAAATACATGCTACACAAGATGTAAACCTGTTGTTTTCGACGGGCGTTAATCGACACTTCTACGATTTTCGTTATGTGTCCACTTTTGTTTGCCATTTCGAAGAGCAATGTGCGTTCATCAACGATTATGTACTGGATAAATAAAATCCTACATAGAATTTAAAGTGATAAAAAAGCAATATAAAACTCTTACTCGTCCCGCTGCTGTCACAAGTCTTGTCCCACCACATCTCTGTAGTGGAAGTGGCCAAGGAGGCTCATCTTTTTGCCGAGAATTTCTCG